TGACGAAGAATGGTGCCCAGCAGCACCTCTTCCCTGGTCTGTTTACATCCTAAAATCAGCAAAGGAGATCTCGCATCCAGTTCCTTTTCAGTCGCCTCCTTATGAGCATTTCAGCCGTGGCCATGTCGTTGATAAGTCCATTGTGATGTCCGTGTAATTTAAGATGAAATCGGGAGTAAAGAGTACGTATGTGCTGGTCAATGGTTGGTTGTCTTAGGTCGGTTTGTAAAGTTTTGTTGTTAACGTACCAGGGAGCTCCTGTTATAAGTCGTAAAATTTTGGATTGAAATGACTGTAGTTTTTGTAAGTGTGTCTTTTTGCCGAACCGTAAATCTGAGAGGCGTATGTCCAGATGGGTTTGAGTAGGTAAGTTTATGTGTTTAGTTTTTGTCTAACTTTCAATTTCGAGTTAGAAAAGAGTGAGTACAGTATTTTCAGTCGCTTGTTTAAGGTCTGTCGTTTCATTTTGACATGTGGGCCCCAGCTCATCCTTCTGTCAAATATTAGTCTGATGCACCGTATACTGTCCGTCTGAGGAATTGGATTAAATACTTAAACTATAATAATTTGTTTCCAGTATTTTAAACTTAAATTGTTTCAAAATATTCTGAAGGGATTCACATCCGTAATTCTAATTACAATAATAACAGTTTCAAAGTTAGGAACCAATCATGTCGCCGAATAATTTGAGCAATCAAACTTTAAAATCGATCCAGTCTTCGGCTCAAAACAGCGTTCCGAAGCTTTTTGCAAATTTATTAAATGCATTTTATATAATAACGGGTCAGTATTTGCTAGTTAATTTTTTTTAATACTTAGGGGATCCCACCGAATGCTTTGAGCCATAAAACGATCCATCGGTTCGCTCAAAAAGTGTTACATAGCTTTTAGCGGACGATCCAAACACATAACCCTAGTTTCGCATCGCTTAGTCCAGTAAAAACGTTTAAGGAGTTTTTCTTTATTTGTTCCTTATAAATTCGTTAAATCCACACGTCCGTAACCTCCTCTTGGAAGTTGTTTTTGCAAACAGGGTATGCTGGCCTTTCGATCGAAATTACAATAATGCACAAAAAAAAAAAATAACTTCGGAAATCTTCGATAACCAAATCACTCGAGCAGAAAATACAACCGCAAACAAACGAGGGAGGGAAGAGGACTTTTAAAAAGAGGACGGTCATAAAAGTCCTACTTTAAAACACTTTAATCACGAAGATAAAGGACGAAAACAAAGAGGAAGGATGGACTAACTGACTCGAGGAAGTTCCTTAAATTATCCTTCCTCCGAGGAAACCCCCCTCCATTTCGGTCCATCAGGGCCCACCCTCCTTCTAGTTTATCTTTCCTTTTATCCTCCAGCATTCTTTTCTCGTAGTATATCATGCGTCAAAAGTGGTAAACAGCAATACTATTTACCATATCTGGTTTCAGTAGGAACAGCCCATTCCGTAAAAATCGTGTAATCTTGAGGAATAAGATAAATGGTGTTTTTTTTTTAATGTACTTAGTAAAGAGTTTCGGTATAAATGGAACGGAACATACGATTAATCTTTTTCTTTAAAGCTCTGTAATGCTCGAGATTTCCGAACTAACGATTATTTTTCTGTATTCTAAGTTTAAGCTAAAAACTCTTTTAAGTATTAGAATTATTTAGGCTGGGCACATTTTCACCATATATATGATTCAATGGTTTTAACGCTATAATAAAGTTCGTCTTAGACTTCATGAAAATGTGGTGTTATAGTTCTCGATTTGGTTTGATCTTATTATATAGTTCTAATATAATTTTATTATAGTTAAATACGGTGGGGTATATAAACTTTATGAGTAAACAACACGGGGCTATTTTAAGCTAAACTTAAGGGCTATTTTTTTTTGTTCTACAGACCTTGTAGATTTTTTGCCATCTTAATGCCACCTTCTCCACCTCAATCTTCGGTCAATTCTTTCCAGTTGTCTGCATTCAACTCTATTGTCTCTTTGGTGATTTGATCAATCCATCCGCTTTTCGGCCTTCCACGTGGTCTTTTATCTTCTATCGTGGCATTCATTGTTACGTAGAGGCCTTATGATGAATTGCTCCGATTTATATACCCCGTCCATATTAATTTCCTTGCATTCATTTTATAAGATATTGATTAATCAATTTCTGTAAGTATTTTTTTATTGGTCCCTCTCTACCTTGCTTTAAGATTCTGGTTGCAGATAACTGTGGTTATCACGAGGAAGAATTTTTTTCTAATGTTTCAAAACTTCTTTCTGGAGTAAAATCCAGGTTTTGTAGTCGTACATCAGAATAGTAAGTTTTATCCAGAGATGGACAAATGCTACTCTGAGTACCTAGTACCAAATATTCTACTCAAATTAAATCACTATTGGGAATCCAAACACTATTTCAGTTAATCGTTTGACAGCAACTGAAGCAGTAATTAAATTTGTTGTTACTCAAAAAATATCAATATTTAAGTAAAATACTTCGGGGGCGGGGTGGCCGAATAGGTTAAAGCGAGTAAACAGCACTGCTAGTTGCCTGGCAACCGGATAACAGAGATTTGAGATGATATAAAAAGTACGAGTTCGCGTCCCGGTGCCGGAGGGGATTTTAAATTCCCCGCCCTCACTCCCCCCCCCCCCGGTCCGGGAAAATCCCGTATAGCCTAAAAGGCGAGGTAGGGAAGAACAAAAAAAAAATTAAAAAAAAAAATAAAAAATAAAATAAACTTCGTACTAAATACTCAGAGTAGTATTTACCCATGTATTTATTTATTTATTATTGAATAATATATATAATTAACACTTAGCGTAACTATACAAATATGATTCACATATGTTAGATATTAATTTTAATAAAGACATTTTAATTTACCTAAAACTTTGCTAAATGTTTTGGACATTCAAAAAACATTGAATAATAAAATGTAAGATTGTCACTTCCAAAATAATTCGATGTTATATCTATTCCTTATTTCTCTGTGAAATTAATAAGGACTTATACGAGTAAATAAAATTTGTATTCATGAGTAGCCGAATAGTACAGCTATAGCCGGTACCAAATGGTAATTTATACGCTCCAGTATACAGCAGAGGCTTATCCATTGTCCCTTATCCCAGCTCCATTTGGAACAGCTCTCGAACAAGGGGGCACAACTGAATACCTTTGCAATTCTAAAGCCTTGATTGAAGTGCACTTTGTTTCGGAAAACAATTTGCGACTTCTTCTCCATCTAGTTCAGTTTCATACAACTTAGAATCGAAAGTATTTTAGAAATCTACTGCTAAATAATTATTATTTAATTGATTTTAAGCCAATATTGTATGTTTTTTTTTTTTTTTCAAAATTGTCTATTTTTACGCTTGCTCAGTAGTCGAAATTGAAATATAAAATTGGGATGAGTGTATAGTACATAAGTTTTGAATAAAATGTATTTGCTCAGGATTTGTTGTTTTTTTTTAATGTATGTGTTGTTAAATAGGAAGTTCGATGGTACATATATATAAAAAATAAAAACCAATTTATGCCTACAATAGAAATGGATACAACAATTTATTTCAATTCCCTCCATTCGGACTCCTAGTGTTGCCCAAATTTGTCAGAATAATGAATCATAGTTCCCCACCAATATAAAATTTATTTAATTAATAATAAACTATAAAAGCATATTTCATAATAAATAAAAGATCATTTAAGAGAAGAATGGTTGATATCATGGTGATAATAAATAATTATATTTATCTTTATTTTTATTTCGTCTTTTTATTTCTTATAATCTGTATAATATTTTTTATTTCTAATCTTAGTTTTCTCTCCTTTTTCTTTTTCCTGTCATTCTTATTCCCATATCTCTTTCTCTATTTTTACTTGTTATTCTCTTAAACGTAGTCAGTATTTTTTGAAAGATTTTGCAATATCTCATGTTTCTATTTTATATCTATTATTTCCTTATATAACTTCATTTTATTCTATGATTATCTCACTTCCTTTTAGTATACTATCACATCATATTTTAGAAACTATGTCAGACCATTTATTTTTTTTTCTACACTTACGTTTATTATCTTATACATACCCACTACTTTTCATTGTTTATTTGCCTCTACTGTTTTGCCTTTATTATTTATTTCTCTGTTACTGTTATTATTCTACCATCTTTATTTTACTTTAGTGTTCACTCTATCTACTTTAAGTTTATTTTACGTATATTTTTTAGTCTATATCTTTTTTATTTTAATTCTTTATTATTCAATGTTTATAGTTTCTCATACCTGTTGTTGTTTGTTTTTTTCTTAGCCCTGATGAAGGTCTGAACTTTGGCCAGAAAGGCAAAACTAAAAATAAATATAATTTTCCAAATTTCACCAGAACCTTTCTCATCACCCAAATCCCGTTGTACAATCCCTATCAAGCACCACCCATCCCTACAATCCCCTTCGTAGGTTAAAGCGGCAGTGGCCACGAGACCTTTTGTAAATATGGATATTTTGGAGTTCTAGCAATGGCCAGATTCTCCACTCAAGTCATGAGTGTCTGTGGCTGTAGCGCTCTTACTCATCCTCCGCTGGTTTTAAATACCAGTGAAGTGGCTGAGGGAGAAGAGTAGGGATCTCCTAAGCTTCCCTTTTCCCTCCACATGTGGAGGGAACAGGATTGGTTCGGAGATCACCTGGCAAATTGTAAATAATGTATATAGGTATGTTTTATATAAGATGTTTGTTTTACTTTTATTTCTATTTTTATTTACTTATGTGTATATATATTTTTTTTCTTTTCTCTTTTGTTCTTTTTTTCTTATTCTTTTGTTATTACTTTATTTATTTATATTTTTGTATATACGGTATGAATGCACTCTCTGAACTCTATTATAAGTGTCCTTAACTGCGACAAATTGTAATATTTCTGAATAAAGTGTTTAATAATAAAAAAATAGAAAAAGTGAAAAGTAAAATAAAAAATATACTGTCTTATTGATGAGTGTTTAGGTGTTGTAAATTTTTATTTGATTGTTTTAAATTTATTAACAATAACTCTAACAAAAAAATAAATATGGCAGATAATATACTATAACATATAGTATAACATTTATTATATGAATAGAATTATTCATGCATTTACATTAATATTTTTTACTCATTGTAAAAACACCATTATTTTGACAATAAATTGGATATAATAATTTTAATTATTATTTAGTTATAATGCATATGAACATACATCATTTTAGTATGTGGATAATTTTATTATAATTAACTATTGCAAATATATTACAATTAATTTTTTTTTTAAATTAATTTCCTTGACCAATATTTCATCTTGAATAAGAAGTATAATTGTACACCGCTTCATGCTAAAACAGTCTCACCAGCTGGCCGAACAATCATATCTGATACCTGAAACAAGAGTTGAATATATTAAATTGGTATCGATTTTTTTTTTAAATATTTAAATAATACATTGAAGTATAAACACATGGGTCAATTTTAAAGTTGTTTTCTAGTTCATTGCAATTCTTTCCTGAAATACAAAGATCGATAAATAATAGCGGATTGATGGTTGAGTGTAGTGAAAATTGAAGAGAAGTTCTGGTAACAACCCAGTTCGCTCAAAAAATTATGTATGGTGTCTCTAACTATATATGGACAGAGAACTCACCTGAAAAATACATAGCTTAAGATGGGGTAAGTTTGGGCCAGCGAGTAAAATTAGTTTGTGGTGATTCCGTGGTGGATACGCTCTGCAAAAACGTGCTTAGTCTACACTAACAAACATGTACTGCGCTACCTTGAGGCAGTTTGAGAACCCTATTTCGCTACGCTCGCTGTGCAGTTGTGTTTTATTTATTTCCATTGCTTTTTGTAAAATTCTTTTTTAAATGAAACTTTCCCTTGTGCCTCAAGAACTACGAACATCTGATTACCGACATATTTATATTAGTCATGAAAAAATCGGCTTATTATTGGAAATGGCCTACAATGCCTGATGGGATTCACTACTCAAAATACAAATTGGCCGGCGAGAAATTTTCAAAAACTAAATGGTACGAAGTAATTTTTCAATGCCTATTTGTTTAAAAAAATATTATTTGCAACATTATTGTACCATTAATACGATTTTTTTGTTTTCATGTGCTCTAAAATGTAATATAGTTGGATAAAATTGGTACACACTCGTTTTCCTTGTTGTTTTTTATGTAAATAATGAGCACTGTCACTGTGGATTAATCTATTGTAGTTATCTATTGGAGATAATGCACTGCCCCACTTTTACCCCAGTCAATGGGGTAATATTAGGCAAATAATATTATTTTTAGTAAAATATTCTTGTTTCTAGAGTGATTGTTAAGCCATATTTTGTAAGAGGAAGACTGACCTTACATATTAATATTTTTTTCAGCATTTTAACTTTGAAAATAAACATAGAAGCAACTTAAAACTTTGAAAAGTTTCTCCTCCCATTACTCCATCGTACGGTAATTAGTTAAGGGGGAGGGGAACCTGGCTGTTGACTCCTTGGACAAGCGTTGACCAAGAAACAGTACTTTTCCTAAACAGTACTGAATTCAAGACTCTTCATGGGTTGTAGTGGTACAGGTTTATATATATAACGTAAGTTTATACTATGTTATCCTGGATGAGTAGTTGGTTATTTAACTAGAATATTGTATGAAGTTACGGAATAATTATAACCGACAACAAGCGTACGATATTCGTTAAGGTTGGAAGTTGTTATCTTCTACCTTCCAGCTGAGGAACGAGTTACTTTATCTGCGTCCTCTAACGAACTCCTAGCGTTAATTAGAGCTATCTCCTTGGATCTCGAGGATCGATAAGCGTAAACAACGGCTTCGTTTATTATTATTTAGCAAGAAATCAGTGTAATGATCAATTTTTTTTTTTAATTCCTACTTTAGTTGATTTTACTTCCTTAATTTTATATTTTATTTCCACTTAAAAGATGTTTCAAGGACAATAACTGTAAATTATCTACTTCTACTTATTAGGAAAAAGCGTATTTATCTAGAACTTTTTATTCTAATAATTTTTAATTTTTATAGCTAGATGTCATCATGAATATTCCCTGCAAATAATGTAATTGAAAAAAAAAAGAAATAATAACAACTGTAACAATAAATCTAATAAATAAAAAACTGGGACCATTTAAAACTACTTTTCTAGCTGTCGGTAGGACCGAAAATTTAAATTTCCGTTGTTATTTGTATTCTAAAACTATCTTTAAAATCTCAATTAAACCTAGCCCCCTTCTAAACTTTTTTAAATAAAAGTTTGTTAATTTTTTTATTGTGAGTGAAGTTCGAAGGGCGAAAATAATAATAATGATAGTAAAATAAATTATCAGTTTAATTTCTTTTTTAATGGCTTATGTTTGAATAATATGAACTTAAAAAAAAAATAACGATATAAGGGAGCCAAAATAAAGCAGGTGTGAATATTATATAAAATTTAATATTATAAATTTTTTCTCGTGTGTGTCAATTTATTCATCTGTCTAACGTTTCGGAATCTTTGTTCATCCTCAGACATTTCCTTTCATAATTGATGTTTTTCTAACAATTCACTCAGATTTCCCCTAAATTCCTTTTTCATTCTTCGCATATCTCTTTCCAAGTCCATATTCAAACATTTCTTCTTATATTATTTAACGTTTATATCGTGTGTTATTTTAGGTATAAAGTATGAAAACATTTCTCATCCGTGTGTGTTAATCTAAGTGAATCGTTAGAACAACATCAATTATGAAAGGAAATGTCTCTGAGGATGGGCAAAGAGTCCGAAACGTTAGACAGGTGAATAAATTGACACACACAGGGAAGACAAAAGTTTTCATAACTTATACCTAAAATAACACATAACTCTTCTTTAAGAAAAGTATAAATATTAAATATCCAGAAGAGAAGAAACGATACTGTGTAGAATACGAATTGGTCACTGCCTGTTTACTCACGGGTACTTTCTCAGAGGATTAGAAGCACCCACGTGCCAAAAGTGTGACAATAAATCGCATTCAGTAAAACATATGTTAGTAGAGTGCTACGAGTTCAACAAAATTGATTTCGGCAAAAATTGAAACTACCAATAGCAATGAAAGAAATATTAAGAGACAACGAAGATGGAGTCACCACCCTATTCCGATACTTAATAGAGACAAAATATTACAATAGAGCATAGAAAACTAGCCGCCAATGACCCTCTAGGGTAGAGGCGATTACAAATTAAAAAAAAAAATTAAAAAAATTAAATATATAAAATTTATTTTGAAAAAATTTAGTTAGCTAAAAAATAATGAAGTTTTTATTCTATCACAAACCATGTGTTAGTTGCGAAAACTAATGAGTAAGTATTTGTAAAGAAAAAAAATTGTTGGCTCAGCATCGAAGTTGCAAAATTTTCATTCTTATTGAAAGGGAAACGATGAGGCCGATACGAATCTATGGACACCTAACCAATGTCAGACACCTAAATTATATCAGTTTGATTTTATTTTATTATACATTTAAGGCCCATCCGTCAGCATTATTCATATTATAAATATATACATAAATATCTACAGATGCCAACAGTTAATGAACACTTAAACGTACTTGCAAAATCGTTGTTTCAAGGCATGACCGCGATCAGCATGCCCGACAACAACCTTGAAAGGCTCAAAAGAAGCTGGATAAGGGATCTACTCTATTAACTATAAATATTAAAATCAAGATAGAAAAGGATGCCGCTGGGTACTACTCTTCCTCAGGCCTACTAATGTCTCACTCAATTCCTTTCGATGAATCACTTGAGACTTTATTGTACAACTTAATCCCTTCCTACTCAAACATCATCCTCTCCGGTGACTTTAACACCAATTTACTGGCACCCTCCTCTGATTATTCCTACCTAACAAACCTCTTTAATTCTCTCAGCCTTTACATAGTACCCTACAATCCAACCCATCATACTCAGTATTCAGAGTCCTGGCTCGATCTAATTATCCTGGATTCCTCAGACAAACTCCTTGCCGCATCTCAGCACCCGGTTCCGTTTCTATCTTCCCACGATCTTGTCCAGATCTCTTACAATGTCCCTGTTCCATCCTTTTCTCCCCGAACAATATCCTTCCGAAACCTAGATTATCTCACTCACGAAACATTGTCAGAAGGTCTTGACGATATCCAGTGGGATCCCATCTACTCCTCAAAATCCATAGACACCATGGTAGAAATCTTAACCACTCAACTTCACTCTATCCTCGATCGACATGCTCCTCTTATCACAAAAACCATCCGATATCCTCCAGCTCCTTGGCTTACCCCTGCTTTGAGGGAGTGTATGAGAGAAAGAGATGCTGCAAGGCGACGGTTTAAACGAACTCGACTTCCAGATGATTTTCTCTCCTACAAACAGCTTCGAAATAGCACTCAATCAGCAGTACGCCGTGCTAAATCCCGTTACTACCATCATTCCCTATCCAACTCTCCCAATACCAAGGCTACGTGGGCTATTCTTAGAAAACTGACCATTGGTAATACACCTCAGTCTCAGTCCAATTCCGTTTCTGCTGATAACCTCAACGCTCACTTTGTCTCCTGTCCTCTTGCATCCACATCTCCCACGTCCAGTCTGGCTCCTATGTTCTCTTCCTTTAATCCTGATCACTTCTTTCTTTCCCATATTACACCAGATGAGCTCCTTAAATCCATTCAGAAGTCCCATACCAATGATTACGGTCCCGACAACATCCCAGTCAGACTGATTAAAGCCGCATTGCCATCCATTCTTCCGATCCTTTATCATATATACAATTATTCTCTTCAAAATGCTACCTTCCCTACATCCTGGAAAACCGCCCTAGTACGCCCATTGAAGAAGACTTCAAACCCATCAGTTCCTAATGATTTCCGACCGATTTCCCTCCTTTCAAACCTCTCAAAACCATTAGAGCGGTTAGTCCAATCCCAGCTATCCCATTTTTTAGAGGACAATAATCTCCTAAATCCCTACCAGTCTGGATTCAGACCTGGTTATTCTACTCAGTCTGCCTTAATCAAAATTTCCCAAGACCTTCACACAGCCATAGATCAGCAGAAACTAACCATCCTTATTCTCCTAGACTTCTCCAAAGCTTTTGATTCAGTAGACCACAACATCCTCCTAACCAAACTTAAAAATATCTCTTTTTCTTCTAGTTCCCTTAATTGGTTCCAATCCTTCCTAACCGGTCGCTCCCAGTACGTTGTAATTCCTAATAACCCACCATCAGAATCTCTACCTCTGACCAGAGGCGTCCCACAAGGCTCTTCCTTATCCCCCACCCTTTTCTCCATCTATATAAATGACCTCCCATCCTCTATCCTGCACTGTCATTACCACCTGTATGCCGACGACATTCAAAT